CCGCGCGCCGTGCGCTCGGTGGGCTGTGCCTTCGGCAATAGGAGGTCGGGGGGACGTGCGTATTTGGCTATCTTTTAAACGTTAATATCTCGTTAACTATTGCTGACACCTCAAAATAGTACAGGACTTTTTGATTCAGTATAGGCTGTTCTACCCACGTATGACAAAAAATGCGGTAGTCGCCAAACACCCTGTAGAGCAATGCTACGAGCATCTATCGAATACTCGGCTCTAATCTTTGGACTCAAAAACAACCTGTCCCGTGCACTTCAAATCATCCAAAATCAGGCTCTTCGTCTTTGCTTCGGTTACCGCATATCCACTCCTTTGAATGTCATTTTCGCTGAGTCGATTGAACTCACACTCACCCATAGATTCCGGCTACTTGCTTCGCGCTATTTTCTTAAAATATCTTCGGTACAACAACACATCACTGTCGACAAGTTGCATCAACTTTGCGATCTGGCTATCGGCACCTCTAGAACTAACTACTTACACAGGCACTTCCCTGCGACCCTTATTTTCCATCGTACGTGGATATCCTATCACTCTTCTACTGACTGCTCTCTCACTCTACCTGGATTTTGTTCTTCTTTTCGCTCCACTACTGTCTCTCTCTCCTACGCCACTCTTTCGCTCTCTCCTGCGGATGTAGTTAACGCATTTCCTACATCTAACGCTCAATCCCTCTTTGAGCAGGAATTCCGAGATCTCACATCCGACTCAACTCTCTTCTACACCGACGGGTCTAAGGTGGATCATAGCACGCACGTGGGGGCGGCGGTTTTGGCCCCACAGTTGCAAGGGGAACTTATGCTTAAACTTCCACCGTACACCTCCGTTTTCTCGGCGGAAGCATATGCGATTTACACTGCTATCACGCTGGCCATTGATCGCAAACTACCAAAGGCAACTATTATTACGGACTCTAAAAGCGTCCTTAAGGCGGTCAAAAGCTTTCGCAACCCAACAAACAACTACCTCATTCCGCTTATCCGATCTGTGTTAGAGGAGGCTGAATCTAAGGGTACAGAAATCAATTTCATCTGGATCCCCTCTCATAGGGGGATCTCCGGAAACGAAAAGGCCGATCAGCTAGCCAAACGCGCAATTCGCCAAGGTATTGAACGTAATTTTAAAGTACCATACTCTGACCTCTGCACGGTCATTAAGCAAAAAATCTCTGATAACTTTTACCTATATCTAGAATCTCAAGCAGATATTAAGGGCTCCTTTTACTTCTCTAATATTTTTAAAAGGTCCGCCAAGCCTTGGTATTTCCGTATAAACATTCCTAGAGAGAGCATTGTCATGATCAACCGCTTACGTTCCAACCATTACAATTTAAACTACAGCCTCCACCGGAAAAATTTAATCGATGATCCTTCCTGTCCCTGTGGGGCACCACAACAAGACATGATTCATATGATATACGAGTGTCCTGAGTCCAGGGGTAGTACGAGACTTGTATGTTGCGCCATCAATCAAATTTCATCCGCACGCGATAACTTAACTAAATTTGCTCAAGCAATTTCTAAACCCTCTGAATACCTTTGCAGGCTTATAACCAACTTCAGTAAATTATGTTGCAGGCAATTCTAAGTTCATATTCTCGCTCCTCCTCCTTGAGACCTGCGCAGGCGCTTTACTCCCTGCCTCAACCACTCCCCTCCCATCCTAGCGGACCTTCTCATATGACACTCTGTCGCGAGGTCTTGGCGCTCCGTCTATACTATTACCGCGTTACGTCTACTTTGTTAGTTCGGATAATACTACACACCACAGTCTATATATAACTGACGTGATCTGGCCGTATCGACCTCCTATTTTAATACTTGGAGGCAGGAGCCAATAATTAAAGAAGAAGAAAGAAGCTTGTACTTGTACTAAGGAAGTTAGCAGTCTAGTAGTATATATAGAAGTCTGTGGTTGAAACTCTTGCATTTTTGTCCCCCACCCATTTTGTATCCCATCCTTTATCTATTAGGGCCTGCGCACAATAGAGAAACAGGAATTAGATATTAAGATTTCAACCTATCAGAAACTGATTACATCGGAA